CCAACCTGCCCAGGCTCCGCGGCCACCCCAGGCGCCATGACCTGCCCGGACGCCGAGGGCCACCCGGGTGCCAGGGTCCACCTAGAGACTAAGGCCCACCAGGGCTCTGTGGCCAACGAGGGCTTCATGGCCAACGAGGGCTCCATGGTCAACAAGGGCTTCATGGCCAACGAGGGCTCCATGGTCAACGAGGGCTTCATGGCCAACGACGGCTCTGTGGCCAACGATGGCTCCGTGGCCAACGAGGGCTTCATGGTCAACGAGGGCTCCATGGTCAACGAGAGCTCCGTGGCCAACAAGGGCTCCATGGTCAACGAGAGCTCCATGGCCAACGACAGCTCTGTGGCCAACGAGGGCTCTGTGGTCAACGAGGGCTCCATGGCCAATGATGGCTCCGTGGCCAATGAGGGCTCCATGGCCAACGAGAGCTCCATGGTCAACGAGAGCTCCATGGCCAACGAGGGCTCTGTGGTCAACGAGGGCTCCGTGGCCAACGAGGGCTCTGAGGACCACCTAGAGACTAGGGCCCACCAAGGCTCCGTGGCCGACCAGGGCTCCCAGGACCACCTTGAGACCAACGCCAATGACTGCTCCGTGGCCCAGTTAGACTCAAAGCTCCACCGAGGCTTCGTGGCCAACCAAGGCTCCCAGGGCCGCCTAGAGGCCGACGTCGATGACGGCTCCACGGCCCGGTCAGACCTGAAGGTCCGCCAAGGCCCCACAGCCGAGCAAGGCTCCAAGGACGATCTCGAGACCAAGGTCAACCGAGGCCCTGCAGCCTGTCCAGACCTGAAGGCCCGCCAAGGCTCTACGGCCACCCAAGCCTCCAAGGCCCATCTGGAGATCAAGGTCCACCAAAGCCCCATGGCCCCCTTAGACCCGAAGGTCCGTGAAAGCTCAATGGCCGACCACGGCCCCACAGCCCACCGAGGCTCCACGGCCCACCTAGAGACCAAGGTCAACCGAGACCCCCTGGCCCGTCTACTTCTGAAGGTCCAACAGGACTCTGCGGCCTACCAAGCCTCCAAGGACCACCTAGAGACCAAGGTCAACCACGGCCCCGTGGCCCGTTTAGAGACCAAGGTCAACCACGGCCCCGTGGCTTGTCTAGACTTGAAGGTCCACCAAGACTCAATGGCCAACTGGGGCTCCCCGGCCCG